AGCCTTCACTCTCCACTAAGCAGCCAAGGAGCAATATGGATAAAGCCCCCAGACCCGCTGGCACGTGACACTCTTGACAGATAGTAGCCATTGTCATTTCCACACAATTTGGTGCTTACGTATGGACACACCTGATATATTCCTGAGTACTCATTTTCTCTCCTCAATTAGAGCAGAAGCACATTAAGGACAAGGTCATGTCTTTTTTTCTCCCCTGATGGATCTGTGATGGAGCTTGGGTCAGTGCTCAAAAAATTCTTAGTGAACTAAAATTGTTAAGACTTCAAAACACAGATAAGCGGAAGTGAGCCTAGTCTTCTCCAGTGAGGGGCCAGGTAAAAGTCAGTACTACTTCACAGAGGGATGATTAATAATTCCTTACTGTTTATATGTTTATAACAGCCCAGTGCATACGTCACCTCATTTAATTCCCAGACAAGCGTCCTTTGGGACCCAAGACAGTGCTTCCCAGACACTTTCACATCAAAGTACACAGCGAATATATTTACAAGGCATCCTAGAACTTTTCCAGATGCTTCCAGAGAGCAGCTGCCCATGTCTGGCCCAGAGCTGGGGGGATCAATTTCTTAGGATCCCCAAAATCCATGGTGGAAGTTGTGGCCCAAAGCTGTGATGCCGGTGGTAACAGAGGCAGGATTTGAACCCAGCATTATGTGACTGCGAGTAATACGTTTTTTTTTTTCCTTTTTCCCCACAAGGTGCTGCAGGCTGAGGTCACTCAGGTTCATCTCCTTTTCTTCTTCCTTTGTATTCAACAAAGATCTTATTGAAATTATCAGTCTCTCTAGGCTGTACTGACCCTTGGGCTGAAGATTCAAGGGAGTACCGCAAGGACTGTCAAGGTCTACGCGTGATAGGAATAAAGAACCTCAGGGAAACAAGGGTGGGTCCTGGATACACTGCCCTTCCTCACAGAGAAACAGCCTTTTACGGTTCTCTGTTAAACAAGGAAGACATATATTTTTGTCCTCCAAAAGGGAGTTTTCTCCTTAGTGCTTCAAAATGGTTTAGACTGGCTGTGGAGAACTGATAATGTCCTAGGGGTGTCCCCCACCCTGGATTCCCTTGCCACACAGAAGCCACAGTGAGGAAAGCATGAGGCTGAGATTCAACCAGATCTAGATTCAGATTTCAACTCCTTCACTTACTAGCTTAGCCTCAGAGTAAATGACTTAACCTCTCAGCTATCGTTTCAGTTTCCTCAGCTATAAAATGGAATTAAAGACAGTAGCACAGCACTCAGCACTTCTACCTAACGTTACTGTGCAGACTGGAGATAAAGCATGTACAATACCTCGCCCAGTGCTGGCTTGCAGTAGGTTCTCAATAAACGATGGGTCTATTATTAGGCATCACTTATCTGACTGAGGATATCAATGCTTAGGCTCTTTTATGCAATTTCTCTTGTGATAAAAAAAAAAGCCTCTCTTTTCGGGCTATGAACCAAAGGATCGCCAGTTTGATTCCCAGTCAGGGCACATACCTGGATTGTGGGCCAGGTCCCCAGTGGGGGCCACATGAGAGGCAACCACACACTGATGCTTCTCTCCCTCTCTTTCTCACTTCCTTCCCTCTCTCTAAAAATAAATAAAATCTCTAAATAAATAATTTTTTTTAAAAGTCATCTCTCTTTTGCAGACAAGATGAAGTACTTGGAATATTAGGAAAACATGCATGGTTATGTTCCATATAATCATTATATTTGACTGGAGTTAAGTAAATTGGTACCACTCTAACCCAGTTGCTTTCTTCAGACAAAACACCGCTTATGTTCTGACCCTGATCTCTGATTAAAGAGCCTCCTCTAAGCACCTAAAGCAGCTCTACAGGTGTCTCCAGATGAACCCAGGAGGATGGTGGAGGGCTTCCTGGGCCCAGCTGGGCCGTCAGCAAGCATTCACTAAGTATTTGTGAACACTCAACTCCTCCCACTCCCTCAGCCCCTCCACTTTCTATTCCACTACTGTGTCCCGTCAATTTTACTCCTAAAATAGCTCTTTAATCTGCCCACTGCTCTCCATCTCCACCACCATCAGCCCTGTCCAGTCTCTCACCTGGACTACTTCACAAGCCTCACAACTGGGGTCCCCACGTGACACAGCAGTGTCAGTGGGGTCCTAGTACCAGGTCCTCAGGCCTGACTGTTCAATATTTAGGAATTCAGTGAGAACTGGTTGTTAAACTCTCACTGTCTTGAAATAGCCATGGAGAGAGTAGTTACTCTGTGGAGACTGCGAACCACTACCAATCAGGGCTTTTTTTTTTCTTTTTCTTTTTTTTGAGAGCTCATTTCCCAGCATACCACTGCTTGGGCCCCTTCCAATCTGTTCCTGCAGTCAGAGTGGACTCCCTTTGCCAGCCTCCTATTGCTCTTTGGATCAAAGCAAAACGTCCTCACCAGTGTCTGATTCTCACCTTCTACACTTCAGCCTCCCTGGCACCTGGCTCCCTGTCACCCTCCCTTTCAGTCCCACTGGCTTTTCAGTCCCACCAGCTTGCCTTGACCGACCCCTTCCCAGGGCCTCAGAACAGGCTGCTTCGCTCAGCCTGGAGCTCTCTTCCTACATTTTCGGCCCAGATAACTTCTATCAACCCTTCAGGTCTCTGCCACAGTGCCCCTTCCTCCGGAAAGCCTTCCCCGACCCCTGGAATCAGGTCTCATTGCACTGAGTCCCTCTCCGGTGTCACCCTTACCACAGCTGGGAGTTTACATTTATAATTATTGATTAATGGCTCCCTTTTCCAAAAACATCTTTATCAAAACCCAAAGGGGTTTTAATCACCATGGTATCCCTAATAGACAGTACTTATGGACTGACTAAATGAACGATTTTGTGCAGCTAGTACACGTATAACATAAAGAGAGCAGCTATGGGGCCCCTGAAAGAAACCCAAAGCCAGACAGAGCCCTGGCTGACCAGGAACTCAGGGCCTTGATGAGACATACTCCCATACACAGACAAAAAGGCATTTTATGAAGCATGCCAAACAAGAGAGCTGAAGGCATTCAATGGGAGAACCAGTTCCCACAGAATTAAGGAGTCCACAGTGGGTTTACGGAGGAGATGGTCTAGAGCTCATCCTGGAACAATGGGTGTAATTTAGAGAAAGCTGTCCAGGAGAGAGAGACTTGACCTGGAGCAGGCTCAGCCCACTAACCTGCTGGGAGCCAACAACGGGCAGTAATGCTGGAAAGACAGGGGGAGGCCAGACTCGGAGGGGCCTCAAGTGGCAGGATGGGGAGGAGTCTGGCTTTTGGCTTTTTTAAAAATGAAAAACAAGTTAAGGCTTTTCAGCAAGGAAAGGAACTTGAAACTAGTAATTCTAGAAGAGTAATACACACACACACACACACACACACACACACACACTCTTAGGCCCATGTATATGAAGCCAGAAATAAAATTCAATCTGACAATAGCTTTTTACACCCAGAGAACAGATAGAGGGCATTTTGAGCTAGAGATGATGGACAAGCAGCACATCTGCACAAAAAGTCTTTCGAAAGAAACTAAGATGTCTCTAGTTCAGGGCAGCAAGATGTTCGCCATAGTCAAGACTCTAAAAGCCCTGGCTTGTTTAGAAGCAGCCCAGGCCAGGTACATGTGGGGCTATAGAATGATCTAGCTCTTCTGTTGCAATGCTGGGCCCCTGGTTATACTCTGACCAGAATTTGAGTCAGTGATATTACAAAGTCCCCCTTAGCCAGGTGTGGGGTTTGCTGGAACCCAGTTTACCAGTCGGTGTGAGAACGTTACTGCAGTGCAGAGCAGAGTACTGGCTAGCCTATGGCCTTGATAACTCTCCCTGCCCGCTGCAGCCAGGCTCTGGGAAGGGGTACACAATTTGCCACCCCTTCAGTCCAAAAAGGTGCTCAGCAGCCCTTGACTAAAAAGCAGTTCCTTCAAGGACTTCAGTGGGTCTGAATTTTGGATTAGGAAACTAATTTACCTATTTGGTGAGTGAGGGTTCCCTAGAGCAGTGGTCTCCAAATTGAGTATATGCACCCACGGGTTACCCAAGACTAGAATCCAAAAAAATGAAAAAAGAAGTTAAGCTTTTCCGATATTAACTATATGGCACTCTCCTCTGACCATCTGTCAAAAGGTCACTTGCCACTTCTGATACTCGAGGTATCCTGAGGAAAAAGGGCATTTCATAGGCAGGGGTGGACAGGGGCCTAAGGGAACAAGTTGCAGGTTACATATGCTCTGCTTAGTTAGAATTATGGGTTCCATTCCATAATTTTTAATAACTCTCATGAAATGGTTGAGTGGCTTAAAAAGATCCCTGCAGAGAATTTCAGTATGTGTAACGCCTACACGAACAGAAAGATGGAAGAACTAATACTTCTAGTGTGAGAAACTCATGTCAACTATGTAAGGAATAAAGATAATGAGGTACTAATCAGATCTAAAAAGAAATCAGTCCAAATAATTCAAAATTATAAAAATTATTTCAAATATGGATTTTCACCCAAGATCCTTAACGACAACTCTCACTTTCACATCCATCTGTGTCTGTTGTGTTGTGAAGAATTGCAAACGATACTGGGAAGACATTTAAAAATATTTCCTTACCCCCATCTTTTAAATTCTTCTACTTACATGTTTTATAATATGTGATGTATTAGTTCATAATGTATTTAGTACATGATAGTCTAGTGTTCCCCATAGGTACATATTGTAATTTAAAATATATATAATTGAGGCTGAAAAGCTCAAAATATATTTACTATTCATTTAGGTGACATAGTCAATAAAGCTTGGAGACCACTAACCTAGAGTCAGCTCAGCGGCCCTGAAGTCCCCCTTCTCAGTCTCCCTTTCTCACCCTCTTCCAAGAAGCCCAAGACAACGGTGAGCCCCATTCACCCAACTGGCACCTTGTAGGACACAGGCAGTGAGAGGGAGGGCCTGTCTTCCCCAGCCCCCACCCCCGCCGGCCCGTGGCTCCTCCCAGCTGCACGGAGCCCCTACCTGATTGTGCCATCGGATGACGTTTCCAAATCCCCCTGTCCCAAGTCGTTCTTTCATTTCCCAGGCCCCACATGTCTGAGTTGGCAGGGAAGGTGACCAGCTCATACTGATGCCGTGCTAACTCTGTAAGCAATTTGGGGTGGGGGACAAAAGGTTATGGTTAAGAAAAAAATGGAACTCAAGGAGATGGAAGAAGGTAACAGACATTATAGCCCTTCGGTGTAAGAGAAGAAAAAACTGAGCTGGTTTTCGTTTCATATGAAAGGAAAGTTTGGTTTGTATTTTGGTTTTGGTAACAAACTTTTACCTTAATCACTTTCCCCCACCCCCACCGCAGGCATTGTGCAAGCGAGCAGGGAGGAAAGTCACTCAAGGAGATGATGCCCCACACCCCAGGACCTGAAAAAGGGATCCCCAGCCTGGACTTCAGCAAGGGGCGCCCTGCACGGCCACTCTGCCCACGGTGGCAGGGGCAGAATCTCTTTGACTTTCCCCACGGTCACGTGTGTCTTCACACAATCCCAATGAATCACAGCTCTCTCCCAAAGCCACCCACCTGGAAGCAGCCACCTGGAACCGCCCCAGCTTGGGCTGTTCTCCTGGGCCTCCCCATTCCAACTGCATGAGAAACGCTTTCTCGCCCAGAACCCCCTGGCTTTTAAACTCGACAGAACTTTCTTCAGGAGCCTCAAGTAAGGCGGGAGGTGCAAGCACGCCTGGGCAAAGGACACAAGGGGTTCGCAGGTGGCACCGGGGCCCCGGCGCCCGGTGGCCCACGCCCGCCGGAGGACTCACCTGTCGGCGGGGACACGGGACGCGGGGTGCGGGGCCTAGGGCGGCAAAACTGGGGGCTCTGGTACCACCCCGAATACATTAAAATGCGGGAATCTTAAACCTGCCAGCCGAGCGCCGCTTCCTCAAACACTTCCTGCTCCGTCGTCACGGATCACGTGGGCCTCCCGTCCGCTCTTAAAGGGGCCGCAGGGAATGCTGGCCCAGGCCACTGCTGGTGCTTGCGGACAGCGTTCCGGCAACACCGGGGGCCCGGCGCTCAGGTGACACTGGGAGGGATGCGTGTGGCATCTAGACAGTGTTATTTGAAATTGAACATGCTGTGTTCTCAGAGATAGAGAATAGTCCTAAAACAAGTCCTAATACGCCAGAGTTCTCTTTAGTAAGTTCTACCTGAAGCAGGTTTTCAGGATAAGGCGTGACGGGGATTTCCTCACCGCAGCCCTCCTAGGGTGAACTTGACCTTGCTTCCTAGACTTCTAACTAGGTGGAATTTCCCGCGCCCCCGCTAGGATTGATGTAGGGACTATTTACAAGAATTGCCACTGGCCTCCTGTGCTCACGCTGTGCTCCTCGGGTCTGGAGGTTCTTTGGCTTGGTATTAAGAATGATAAACCACAACTGTACTTAGAAGTGACAGCCTCCACTCCCCTCTTTTAAAAAAGTAAAGGAAAGGGAAAAAATCTGTAGTGTAGCACTGAAGTGCAGCCTCAAGCCCAGTGACGCAGAGAAATTGAGAGGCTCTCAACCCTGAGGTTTATCCTCCATTTCCTACCTACTTGATATTAGAATAAGGTCTTTTACAATAGTTTCTCCGTCTGTGGCACATATTAGCAGACAAAGGAGTTGTGTGTGTTGGTATATTTACTAAAGCAGGGGAAAATATTAAAGGAAATCAGAAATAATAATAGCTGCATTTATAGAGTGCTTACTAAGTGTCAGGCACTTTCTAAACTGTGTATTTGAGTTTCTTCATTCAATCTTCAAGGCAACCCTACAAACTGAACAATACTGAGTTATTATTATCGTCTCCATATTACAGATGAGACAACTGAAGCACAAAGAGGAAAAGTCTTTTTTATTTTTTTTATGTATTGATATTTAAAGAGAGAAGAAAGGAGAGAGAGACAAACATCGATTTGTTTTTCCACTTATTTATGCATTCATTGGTTGATTCTTTTATGTGCCCCTCCCTGCCTGAAATCGAACCTGCAACCTTAGTGTATCAGGACAATGCTGTAACCAACTGAGCTACCCTGCCAGTTATTTTTTTAATTTTATAAGAGTTTAGGGGGTGGTTAAAAGATTTTATTTATTTATTTCTAGATAGGGGCAAGGAGGGAGAAGAGGAGAGAAACATCAATGTGTGGTTACCTCTCGCATGCCCCCTACTGGGGATCTGGCTCGCAACCCAAGGCATGTGTCCTGACTGAGAATCAAATCAGTGACCTTTTGGTTTGCAGGTGGGCCCTCAATCCAGTGAGCCACACCAGCCAGGGCAGAGTTGTTGTTGTTGTTGTTTAACCAAAATGATAACATATGCTGGGGAACAACATCTAAAATGCTCCAGAAAAGTCTTTATCCCAAAGTCACAGGCTAGTAAGTTGATGATCTCATATTGAAACTCAGGCAGCTGTTTCTTGGGTCCATGCTCTTAATATTTGGTTAATAGTGGCATCCTAAGAAGTTCAGAAGGCCAGCTGGATTTTGAAGCAGCTACTGCTATTGACGGACTGCCTTAGAGAATCCAGGGCCACTTACTTAACCAGTGCAAGCATCCATTTTTCTTCTTTAAAGTGTGGGCAATATGAGGTGGAATTGCATGAAACTGTCATTTTTGTAACTCAAAAACAGTTGTAATATCAGCGACAAAGATCAGCAGTTTCGTCTGGTTCAGCCTAAGAGCAGCAGGAAGATAGGGCACACAAGTCAGAGAAAAGAGGCGCCAGCAGGGTTGTTATGAAGGACAGATGAGGTCATGGTAGAGCCGTGCCTGACACAGAGGACACACCTGCCTGACCAGAGCCCAGAGGCTGACGTTAGCTAACTCTTGGGAACTATGTCAGCCCAAACAGATGGGTCAGCAGCACCCAGGACCACCCTCGGCACCCTGGGCAGCTCAGTATTTCCCGATTTACTCTATAGTCTCTGTGAAATAGAACACTCAGCCTCAAGGCAGGAAGAGAAAGGAACATGGGTAAATAGTTGTAAAGCAATATGTGTTTGCTTAATAAATAAACTTTTTAAAATAAAACATTTATTGAGCTCTTATTGTGCTAGGCCCTCTGTAGAGTCAATTTCCTGTATGACATCATAAAAGATTTCTCTTTAATCCTGTCCCCTCTGAAAATCACTGTCCCTGAGAAAACATAGGGAGACATCCACTGACAACTGAGACGCTGAAGGTTTACTCTGTACTACTATAATTTAAGAGTTCTCATTGTTCAGCTAAAAATAGCTTGTTTCTCTAAAAAATATATATTTATTTATTTGTAGAGAGAAGGGAAGGGAGGAAGGAAGAGAAGGAGAGAAACATCAATGTGTAGTTGCTTCTTGTGTGTCCCCAACTGGAAACCTGGCCTGCAGCCCAGGCATGGACCCTGCCTGGGAATCAAACCCGAGACCCTTTGATTCGCAGGCCAGCACTCAATCCACTTAGCTACACCAGCCAGGGCAAAAATAATTTGGTTTTCAACTGAACATAAATCTCTCTGATAAGCCATATATTACTAAATTATTTTTAAAACCTTAATGATGGCCCCGGAAGGTGTCTCTGGGTTTCATAATGTCCCAAGATATTTATCAGCTTACTTCCTGTTTTCCCTCCAGATAAGACATGTCCACTGTCTACAGCTGGTCTCTATTCTGCTCTAGAGATGTGAGCAGACTGTTTATAAAAGTATATATTTTCAAATGGAGCAGAGAAATATTTCTTTTCCCTGTTTTGAGGCTGATCATGCTATTCAGCAGTGACTATAGGATAACGGAGAAATACTGAGCACCCAGAGTGCCTCCCACAGCCCTGGGCACTGCTGACCTAGGGGATCTAGCAATGTAACTCTTCTCCAGAGACACGTAGAATCTTACTGGGGACATAAGACTCACAGAGAGCCATCAAAGAACAGGAGAAAAGGACAAAGCAATTTAAAAAAAAACGGTGCTAATTAGTTCTGCAATAGAGGCAGTAAGGTATTTGTGATAAGGACAAAGTTTTGAAGCATTCATTTTAAAATGAAATCTTCCCAGGGTAAATAAAAAATATCTATCCACTTACTCGGTCTTTTTGCGTCATTATTTGACAAAACCCTGCTCTCTCACCTAACAACATCCAGGCAAATCAACACTGAGCTCCTTTGAGTGAGGAAAGAATTGTTTTCTGAAGAATCTGCAAGATGAGTCATAGTAAGAGAAGCCAGCTTAAAAGATAGAAAGGCAATAAAACAGACCACTCAGGATAGGGAGGATTTCTCCAACCCCCCAGCCCCCAGAGTCAGCTCTGATTCAGTCATTTCAGCAACTCGTTCATTATCCTGCCAAGTTTTTTTTTTATCCTAGCCCTGCAGAGAGAAGACTTTGCAAGTCAGACTGCTCCTTAAAAAAAAATTCTTTCTCCAGGAAAGTTAGTAAGCTCATTTAGTTGGAAAACACCAAAAAACCCACCTTTCCTCTAGGGAAGCTGGTGGGAGATGGGGTTGTAGACTTGTGGAGGCTGATGGAGGGAATAAATTTTGGTCCAGACCCTTCAGGGCTCAGCGTATCACTGACTACAGATGAGGAAGGGAAGAAAATGAGGCTAGTTTTTGTCTCTGTGAACGAGACCTGGGCCAATGGTGAAACTTGACAGGAACCAGGAAACTTTAGAGGACCATCCAGGTCATCATGCCTCAAACCTTGAGTGAAACACTGAAAGCTGAGGATTTGGGGTTCTCAGTAACCTTCCCTGGAGAAATGATAGGTTGTGGGGGAAATGATAGCTTATATTCTTCCCTCTATTTATGTACACACATTTTTATTCCAGTAAATTCAAATTCAAAAAAAAGAAATTCCTCCTGAAGGAAGAACCCCTCAGATTCTTCCTGCTGTGCTTCCACTCTCATTTCTCTCTTCTCCTGCCCCCTCCCCACCAGGGACCACTGTGCTGGTGCTGGAGGGGGCAGGATCTCTTGCTGGGCAAGGCCACTGGCCCTTAACTTATAGATGAGGCTCCTCCCAATGTTGAATGCAGACCAGGGCATCTGCAAAGGTTCAACATTTACAGCAGCTGCTGTAAAGAGGGCATTGAGCTTATCCTTTGTGACTGTCACCTCATTGTCTGCAGTCTGAGGACCAGAAGATACAGGCTACTCCAGAGATGGATGCCCAGGTGCAGGCAAATGCTGGGCTGGTGGTTCTCAGGCCTGGTGCTGCTTGCTGGGTGAAGAAGGTCTCTCCCCAAAGCAGCCATAACTTCCTTGGAAGGACCCAACACATTAATGGCAGCTGTGGAAAGGGGGCCATCACGGATTTTAATACAATATTAGTTCATTGTTTATTGGTTGCCTCTCCCACTACCGTTAGCTTCCCATCTGCCTATTCTGTCTCCCTCTGAACTTGCATCACTTACTTGGGTGCAGGCCACAAGATCATCATCATCATCATCATCATCATCATCATCATCATCACAACAACAAACATTTATGGCCACACAGTAGGAGCTTTATAATTATTTGAGGAATTTGATCAGTTGATGGGTCATTTTGCCATCCTGGGCTTGTGGATCTGGTTCTCTGCCCCTCGTGGAAGTCACCCTGTTACAGGGTGCAGCCAAGAGGGGGGACCCCAAATAGGCATTTGAAATGGGGTCCAGAGCTTAAGGTGTCCAGGAGATTTTAAGATGTCTCCACCACCACCCCCCACCCTACGGTGTGGGTTGGGGGAAGGGACAAATGAAGCAAGGCCATTGAGAGCTGTTTTGCATAGCAACAGCCTTGCAGCTACCCTCTGGCGTGGTCATTTAACATATCTATAGCCTTTGGCTGGTCGCTTAGATATGTTAAATAGCTGTCATCATCTCTGAGCCAGGGGAATGGAAGTAACTTCCCCACCAAGACATGACTGGGGGCAGATCCCCCAAGCTACAGCGCCTGCGCCTGCGTGG